CTTGACAAGATAGCCGTGGAGTGACACACATACTCAGCGGGAAACACGAAAGCCCTTAGGCATTTCCTGAGAGGCATAGCTTTGGAGCTTTCGCTGAAAAGCCTCCATGATAACATGGAAGAAATCGGATTTCAGGTGCAGAAGATGGAGCGCCTCATCAGCCAGCAACCTGGGCGAAGGGGCACAGCACCCGCTTATCATCGCGTCACCGGGCGCTCGTGAGGTAACGAACCTCCGGGGGCTCCGCGTGCGCGTGCAAATGTATCGACGACCGCGCGGGCCCACGCAGAGCGACAACAGGGGGACCGCCAGCGGCGCGCCCGCATCCAAGAAACGAGAGCGGCCGACACGCAGGCGGAGGCCAGCCGATGGCTGCCGACGCAGCTCGCGAAGAGCGCGAGTATCGCAGTGCCCTCCTCACCAGACGAGCAGGAGCTGCGCGCTGCACCAAACCGTAGGCGAGGTCCATCCCGTCCATAAACAATGGCTAGCTCTACCTTTTACAGGAACAGCAGCACCGTCGCGTTTGGAACTGCAACGGCAGACTTAATCCGACTTAATCCTCACATTGCGTTTAACATTCCAGTTTTCTACTGCTACACAAACGACAGAGCAGCACAAGCACCAAACGAGAAATACGCCCACACAGGAGCAATATTACACTGCACTGCAATATTAATTAGACGCAACATATCTCATTATGTTACAGCCCTTCCGCAGCTGCAGCTGCAGCACGCCGAGGCCACCGCTGCGCCTCGACTCCATCCACGCACGCCCCGACCGCACCGCGGAAACGAACGCCCTGCTAGCTGCAGATATTGCGAAACTAGTGGAGGCAAACACAACTCCAACACTTGCGGCTCGCGATTTTAATGCAAAACACACGGCCTGGAGCTTCCGCATCACCTGCCTTCGCGGCCGTAGCTGAAAGCAATCGCTGATGCAAACGGCTGCGAGATATACGCTCCTAATGTACCCCCCTATTATCCCTTTCGAACGAACGGCAAGCCCGAAACTTAAGATATCGCGTTTTTCCAAAAATTCCATCACCCTCCCACACTAACAACCACCTATGAGCTATCCTCTGACCACTTTCCAGTGATAGCGAGTATGAGACGTGGCGGCCTGACCCTGTCGACTGCACCCACGACGCAGAAGAGGCGCACGGACTGGAAGAAATTCCAGACGGCGCTGCAGCAGCGCATACCCGATGCATCTGCCCTGTCAGGACCCCAGCAGAGAGAAGCTGAAGCACAACAATTCGCCCAAGCTGTGAATGACAGCCTCAACGCAGCAGCGCTCCTCTAAGGAGGAGCAGCCATTAACCCCCCTTTTTAATTAATTTAATTTCCAGGAAAAACAGGGCGCGCAGCTTGTGGCAGAGCAAGAGACACCCAGCTGATAAGCGGGAGCTAAACCGATTGAAACGTAAAGTAGACATCGAACTAGCTGGATACCGCAAACAGAAATGAGCTAAATTGTTGTCAGGTCTCAAACCTGAAGATAATTCACTGTGGCGAGTCTCTCGCATGCTTTCTAGGACTCCAATGACAGTGCCGCCGCTTCACACCAGCACAGGAGAGTTTGCAGAAATGAACGAGGCGAAATCGGAACTTCTAGCTAATGTCTTAGAATCTCAGTTTCAACCGATCAAGGAGGCGCCGCCGATGCTGCACGTTGTCGAAGTACAACAAACGGTTCTGGCGGCCTTGCACGCGCCCGCCGACGAGCCGAGTTTCGCTACAGAGACTGAAGTAAAAGCGGCCATCTCGGAGCTGAAAACTAGAAAAGCTCCCGGCCCCGACGGCATCTCTAACGACGTCCTAAAGAAGCTGCCGCAGCAAGCCACAGTCTTCTTAGTCGCACTGTTTAATGCTATATTTATGATTCAGCATTTTCCGAGTCAGTGGCAACACGCACATGTTCTGACGTTTCACGAGTAGGGGGAAAAAACGAAAAAGCCGAGTCGTACAGCCCCATAAGCCTACTAAATACGCTCGGAAAGCTCTGTGAAAAACTAATTCAAAACAGAATTTTCAAATATGTTTCAGACAATTCACTCTTAAATAAGGAGAAGTTTGGCTTTCGCGCGGATCATATCATACCCATACATACCATATATCACCGCCCCACGTTGAGCTAGGGGCTAGGCGCCGGCTTCTAGGGGTATGGAAGCATTCCGTAGGAGGTAGGAGCAAGGCAAGCAGGCGGTTCTCTTGTGGCCCGACTACGATTTGTCAGATGATGCTTTCGCTATTTTGCGCATCACGACATTAGTATTGCATTTACGTATACCTACGTATATACGGAGTAATACATGTAGTATAGAGAAAGTTATACAACAATGTTGCGGTAAATCGATAAATTTTGAGATTTCAACGAAATGCATGGTTTGGGGTCCCCCAATCCCGAGAAGGTGTTGTTGTTGTTTTTTCATTACGTTCGTCCATCTGTCTGCCCATCTGTGAACCATACTAGGGCCAAAACTACAAGTATTCCTAGAATTTTACGAAAATGAATATTCACTGGTCTATCTGGCCTGCTTCCAATCTTAACGAGTTGTAAAAAGTTGTTTAAAATTGGGGGATACTTTAAATGAAGCCCCTGGGACATCTTTTATATTTTCTCAAAAATGGCTCCAATTTTTTTACTTCAAATTTGTTGTAACAATAGATTGAAATATGCTTCTCGAGATTGCATAGATCCTATGTTTACTGTTAACTTTTATTTTTTGAAGGTTACAAAAGTTTGATTTTTTTTCGGTGTCTCCTCGCAACTATAATATTGAAGATAGAGTTTTTTTAAATAAATTTATTCTCCCTAATTAGTTTTTTCATTGGCGTCAGTCTGATTTCTTTGAAAATTTGAGTAGTTGTCGTGTAATATTGCGTGAAATATGTGCATCAAAAAATATTAAAAACAACAATTACTCAAAAACAGTTCCTTTTTTTCAAACTTTTGGCAGGGATGTTTGTAATTGTCGTGTGTAAGATGACAAACGCCGTACGCTCAATTCTTTTGTTTTTTTCAAAACGTTCACAATTATTTGTTTTTTGACGTTTCTCTCACTTCCTAAATATTTACATTACCGGCGACTTGTGTACATTATTGCGTTTGTAGTACACGTGCTTTAAATAATGTCTCATAAATAGAGACCGGAAAAATAAGTAGTTTGAAATGTCAAAATATGTATATATATATATATAAATGTAATGAAAACGCAAGAAAATGTAATACATTTGTAAAATAGGAGAAAATATGTAATATTAAAATACACTACTTATAAAACGAACATTGACATAATACGAAATTACATTTATAAAAAAATCCGAAATACATGTTGAAAATAATACAAACGTTTTAAAAGTAAATTGGAGAAAATCAGTCGTAAAACCTTTATCTATCATCGTTACTGCGCTCTTCCCGCCACTGAGAAAACTGATGCAGACGAGCAGGACTGTGAGAACATTCTACCGCGTCTTCATGAAGCGAACCTCGAATAGGCAGAGCGCAGTAACGATGTAGGAAATAAGTGTTTTTTAATACTTTTCATAAAAATAAGTAGCAAAGTTGAAGAAAATTGATAGACTAAAAAATTGTGAAAATAAAAAAATGTGTAAAATATGTAATATAATACTAAATATGTAAAAATATAAAACGAAAATTTTGATATTGTATTAGGACGGCGACGATTCGCCAAGATTCACATTTTTAGATCGGTAAAGACAAAAAAAAATTCATTACATAAAAATACGGTCTCTACTCATAAAGTTCCTCGAAAACTCAAAAGTATTTTGAGAAACTGAGTTTGCAGGAACGCGCTTTAAGTAATAATAGATAATATATAATAGATATTATAACAACTTAATTAACTCGCATGAGCACGCAGTATTCGAAGGAAGACGGCAATATGTGAACAATAGTGAATATAAATAGTTTTATACTACTATCACAGATGATACAAGACCATTTGCTTCTCTTACTAGTTTCTATCGCTAGTTTGATGCATGGGGGGGAGGGGTATAGTTGGCCGTGCTGCCGCGCCGAGAGAGGGCCCGCAACGGGACGGAAGAGGTGGAAGGCGATGTGTTTTCCCAAATTTCACTCACACTATTGTTGTAGCAGTTTTTTGGCTCTCCAGTGTGTAATAACAGGATACACACAGTACAATATTTCTTTACATACAAAGAATATGAAATAAAATTCTGTTCCATAACGCAACACGTGAATAGTAAATTGTAATAGCGAGCAGCGTTGGTGTTGGTGCTGCTCCGCGAGCGGCCCTCTTCCTCCGTCCACCATTGCATCCGAACCGTCTCATGTGGAGAACGCGAGATGCGAGTGGCGCCTGCCAGGGCTTCACAAGAATTAGAATCTTAAAACTCAGGGACGCCAATAATCTATGATTATATAAACAACAGCAGAAATGACATTTGAAAAAATAGTTATCAGAATATTTGACAGAATTCTTTGACGAAGAGCCTCATTAAAGAGAATAACAAAAAAAGCATATTAACTCTTCATTCAGTTGAAATAAAAAAAGATCTAATCTCATGGAATTGTATGAGGGTTCACTGAACCCCCTGGCACAAGCAGCCAGGATCGAACACGGACACTGGTCCTTGGAGGTCGGAACTAAAGGAGCATGGTTCGCGCAGCATGAGAAAGGAAAGCGTAATACAGAAAATGCTTGCATTTTCAAAATTTTCAAAAAGACAAAATCGAAACTTTCATTTTTTAGCTGGTCGCTTTTCAACTACTATGGTCATACAGCACCACTGTAACATTAGGGTAAAGATAACAGTACACGAACACTCACAACGGACCCTTCAGGCAGGAGGCAGCTATGGCTCTCCAGCCTTAGCGACTTCCGCTACCCAGGCCGACGAAGGTTTTATTGTGTTGCATTTGCATGAGTTTCTGGGGATATAACAAAATCACAGACAGTAGGGTAATGAGAATCATCCAAAACTAATGAAGGCAGACAGATATAATTTTACCTTGAGCAATATCATCGAAGATATTCTGATTAACCATCCTTTCCAATGTTCTAACCGCTGCAGCCATTCTTTTCGAAGTTTCCGATAAGTTATTATTTTTTTTGCAAATTTTCTTCTTTGTTGGAGCTGTTGTGTGTGTTTGCTGTTGCTGTCCCTTTTCCTTTCTTTCTTTTTCCTTTTCTTTCTCTCTTTTCTGGTTCTGGAAATCTTCTTGGTAACCATCGTAAATTGTATACTGACAAATTTGTTTTGAAAACACCGCACGAGGAGGTGGCATTGTTTGTGTTGCTATAATCTTGGAACAAAAAACACAAATAATCATTAATGTTTTGGATAAAATTATTTTCAAAACATTACTGCACATCAATTAAAATAGGGCATTCATATTAAAATAACTAGGAATAATAAAGAAGTTACATAAATCAAAATTAATACTAAGAGCTGTGATGAAAACTGGTTTGTTAAGAAATTATTCTTCCTCGGGAAAATAATGTTTCTAGAAACACAAGAAACACGAAGGACATATGGTAAATCTCAAAAATGAATTTGTGTTCTAAATATCGCAAACTAAACTACCTCCAACATTGCCAGGCACATAAGCAGTGACAAACATCGATCGACACAGTTTCCAGTTAATTATTTCAGTATGGCAACTTCATATGAATAGTCCAAGTAACCGACTTCAAGAGCAGGAAATTATTAAGAAATATTAATTCCATTTTGTATGTGGGTCTCTCAAGGGAAAATTTAATCGAGTTTTTAAAATTTTAAATATATTTTATATTTATTTTCATTTTTGACATATGGCCAACTGTTTAAGACATTTTAGCAACTATGAAAATTGATATTTCCGTGAACAATCTTTCATTTTGGAACAGTATATTGACACATCGCCTGAATTGTTAATTTTTTCATGTCAGATGAGATACAAATTAATAATATGCGTCTATTCAAGAACTGTGTGGACCACGGGGCTTCAGAGAAGGGAATCCTCGTGTGGGAGCAGTGGGTGGTCTAGGTCATGTCTAGAAGCTCATGACAGGAAGTAGTAGAACGCACTAGTTGCGAGGCTGTCCGGGAGACGTCGCGTCCTAGGCACAGAGGCCATCGTTTCGACCGACCTTCCTCAGGGCGAAATGGATGACTCCAGCCGCGGAAGCTCTACTACGCACTACTTTTCACTGCAGGCACCTGACCGGGGAAGTAGTGTTAGATGCGCAGTTAGGTCGAATATACCCACTGTTTGGAGGAGAATTTCAGTAGCCTGCTGCTCTGATCGGTAGTTTTTTGTAATTTCTGCGATCAACAAAGCCGGAGCAGTACTCTAATAAACAGGCCACTGACCGCCCGCCATCTTTCCTCCTTCTTCCTTGTCCTACTTTCACCCTTTACGTACACACATACTTACATTTACTACACTACACTACCACACATGCCCCGGCTGCGGCGGGCCCTCGCTGGCGGGAGTTGTTTGAGGCAACCCCCCCCCCACAGGTGGGGTAGGTCAAAGCCGGATCTCGTCCTCCAGCGGGGGAAAATCATCGCCACATCCGCGATAAAAAACATACACTATACTGTCGAAACTAATGACCCTAGCAGATGACGTGTCCGGAATCACTTATCATTCAATGGATGAAAGGGGAAACGGACGAAAAACCGAGCAACACAGGTAAACAAAAAACGCCAGTGTATTCGTTCGCTTTCGCGGCCGGAGTCATTGGATATTTAGCTCTCCGGGAAAGTACAGCTGCCCTAGTATAGCTCTAGAAGAAGACCACAACCCCATGACCGAAATATACGGACGCAGATCGTACCCATGAGATAGTTCTTGCCTTCCTTCCCTACAACGGGACGTTTCTTCGGTGCAGAAACGTCCCATTACACTGCCACACAAAATAAAAATAATATCAGACCCGAAGACTTGATACCATGTTTCTCTCCGTGTGTCGACGCGCTGAATCTGAAGCTAGAATTGTCCCCCCACAGTCCAGTTTTTTCTAATCGCGAAAGACGCTTGAGTGGTTACGCAATTGTGGCTGCACAATCGGATTCAGCGCGTCGACATACGTAGAGCAGCATGTGCCAAATATTTGAGCCTGACAACAACTCCCGAAAGAAAAGAAATTACGGAATTTGCGGCTGCAGAGCAGAGGCAGATCCCTAAGCATCAGCGCTGACATGTTGGAGTTCCAGTTCACAATAAAATAAATTTCATATTTCTAAGTTAACTACTCCATGTATTATGATTTTTTGAAACTCCGACAATCTTTTAAATAACCCTGTGCAGGTGCAACATTAACTAAGGGCCACGAGAAAATTGAATTAATGATATGAAAAATAATTAATTTAATTATAATTATAATTTTCAATTGAAAATACCAATATTAATTTTATTTTTACTTTCTCGCACTTTTACAACTACTCAATTTGTATTCTCAATGGGTTGATGTTTTTTTCTTTCAAGCAATCAGGAAATCTTCATTAAAATTTCTGCAACAATGCCGCAATCGATATTTGAGAAGCCCATTGTTGTAAAACGTCGATATGGTGGCGGTAATAATATTCAGTTGTTTTATTTAGTCGCGCTTGTGTTTAGAATAAACCTTTTAGAAATGATTTGAAACCTTTTTGATAATTCATTTTTTTCGCGGTTTTCTCTCATGCCCTAAGAGAAACAGCGCTGACAAGAGCACATTTGCACAGCGAAACTCCTAGGCCGAGAGCCAGTACTTCCGGTTGCGATGAATTTCGCAAGTATTTTTATAAATTATTCCTCAGACTGCCCAATGAGGTATGTTACATTTAATATTATCTGATTCCTAAAAAACTTTACTGCGTATTCAATTAAAGTTATACATTAACCCTATAACTTCTTCAATAACTTAAAGAAACATATGCTCGCAAAAGTTTTTCCATAAGAGTCTGTACTAATTTAAACTTCTTTTATTCACAAATTACGACGATAAGGCCTAAATTGTTTGTTACCGTCTTTTCCGTCTACTCCACAAAGCGTTAATTTCTCAGCTGGCCACCCACCACCGAAAACTATCGATCAGAGCAGGAGGCGACTGGAATTCCTCTCCAGACAGCGAATTCGACCTAGGTAGTGTCTCAAATCCTGCCGGCGCGGCGTCAGAACTCGAACCTCAGGACCTCCCGGACAGAGGCACTGCAGTAACATTAATTGATGCCCTAAGCCACCTGAGGCAGTCTTTTATCCACTGAGTAAATGCTGAGATGGCTCATTGTTTTGCTTCTTAACATAAAGGTAGCTTCACTCTGAGCTCTCACTTCGCTAGCTATGGTAGGAGTAGGGCCGAGAGGGGTGGACTGTAATTTTGTTATCAGTACTAAATATTAAATGTGCAGTTTCTTTGTCGATGCAAATAAGTTTTCTGTAACTGGCGAGGGAAACTTTCTTTTTTATTTTTAAATGCTGTTTACTACGGCTTGTTGGTATCTTTATTCATCATTCAATAGTGCAAGCAAATGGATGGAGACAATAATTTTGGAGCTAAAGAAAACATGCACTGATTATACTCCCCCCTATGTCACATATAGTTTTTACTGTATTTTGAATATAAATAAATGAAATTAAATTATTGTGCAGACACAGTGTATTTTCGAACAAGATGAAGGGTGATGCTTTTCCTAGTCAACAAAAACGAAAGAAGAGCCTTTCTCAAGTACTATTTCCTATTGTTACACAACTCCTCCTGTGTTATAGTGAGTGTATTATGACATCTTATTTTGTATCGTTCTCTTTCTGCATTTTAAATTAATGTGTACTTATTGGAAGAACAAGAAGTTTAATAATAATAATTCTTTACATCGGTTCGTTTTATTATTTTTGAAAAAAATTAATGGATTCTATTGTTATCAATTTGTTTGAAAAATACATTAACCTTGGAGAATCAGAATTATATCAAACGGGATCGTAAATGTCTTAAAATCGTTTCTAGGAAATAAATACTCGTCATGATTCAGTAGTAACAAATCTATCATTTTAAATTATATCATACAGCATCAGATTTTTCTAGTTTCCACACAAAAATAACTCGACAAACTAGTATTTAGATGGATAAAATAAGATGTTGCTAGAAAGATACATACACGTTTTTTGTTATTAAAAGTCATTGCAGCTCTCTCACAGAAGTTAAATTGGTTTGTTATTTTTTTCGCTCCCCCCGCCCGCGGAGCGTCGGCAGAACTGTCTTTTCGCCCAACATCCTCTTCCTTCTCCTCATCTTCCCCGTCTACCGCATTCTCTTCCCCTGCACCTTCTTCGTCTGCAGCTGCGTCTTTCTCTTCCGATTCTTGAGCTGCAATCTCTTCCTTCGATTCACTCTCAGTATCTACAAAGAATAAATATACGAAAAAAACGAAAGTTAATAAGCATTCAATTTTTTCAAGAACTACACATTTTCATTTTCTTTTAGCTATGGAACATAGCAAAACATTTTAGCATCAGTATCTTAATAAAGTAAAATTATTATGGTCCATTGCCATTAATTGAAGACGTTTTCAAGAAAAGTGACGTCCTTGAGGATGAAATGTAACTTCAAGCTCATACTATTCGCACTGAGGGGAGAGAAAGAGGTGCAACGCAGAGGTGAATAAAGAAGGAAATGCACTGTAACGTACTCCTTATGGGGCATTTGAAACACGATGTCGAAATTTTCCAAACAAAAGGTATACGGGCGATTATATAATAAACAAAATCCATATGAATGTTTATTTTACGAAATGTAACGACTCAAAGAACGAGAGGTGCAACAATAACACATACATTTTCGTATTATCGGTAACAGTTACGTAAAACGGCAGCCATCTCTTAAAAAACTCCTAACCAAATGATGTTCAAAAAATACAAAGACATTTAATTTTTAGAAAGTTCAAAATTTTAAATTGATTAAGCTTTCTGCCATTGAATTTAGTGTAATGTACTGTAATCTTACCGAAGTTTTAAAGAAAAAATTCTTATCCAAGTAAAGTTTTGATTTTAAGCATTTTGGTTTACAAAGGAAGTGCTCATCTAAACCCTGTACTACACGGTAAATACCAGCTACCAGTACGAAGTGAGTACCAGCTACTAACCTGAAGTATTATTAAACGGTGATTCTAACATTGTAATTCAAAATTGTAATAACGTAATTTAAAGTTACGAACAAAGTACTAAACATTTAAAACAGTGTACATGGATTTATCTAAATGAGAACAGATTTTGTTAAGTAAAAATCTTTAACTTCAATAATTTGTTGGATGAGGAAGTCACAAAAATATTAAACTTTTGCAATCTTCGAAATTTACGGGGCATTAATAATATTTTTAAATCTGGAGAAATTTTTAAGAAAATTTTGAAAATGTCCTAGAGCCGTCATATTTAAGTACCTTCAAAAATGTTTAATTAGTTTTCAAATTGGCGACATCAGCCAGATGGATCGGGATTATGCAATTTGTTGAAAAAGAGGACAACGAACTTGAGGAACAAAAAAAAGTGTTATTACCAAAAAATTAGAATCGCAAACAACATAAGTGGACAAATACACACTGCCAAATAGCACCCAACAGAAAACAATATTTTAATTTTTTTTGTAATATGAATTAAAACAGGATTTGTGAAACGTTTCCCTTAGAAATGGAGAAAAAGGAAATGAAATGATTACAGTTCACAATAAAGTTCTTCATATGTATCATATATATGTAATACGGCACTATGTAATCAAAAGTATCCGGACACGTCCAAAATGGTGTTATGGTATGGTCGTGTTTTTCATGGAGGGGGTTTGCATCTCTTGTGTTGTGTGGCACTATCACGGCACAGGCCTACATAGATGTTTAAAACACCTTCTTGCTTCCCACCGTTGAAGAATAATTCGGGGATGGCAATTGCACATTTCAACACGATCGAGCTCCTGTTCATACTGCACGGCCTGTGGCGGAGTGGTTACACGACAAAAACATCCCTATAATAAACTGGCCCGCACAGAATCCTGACTTGAATCCTATCGAACACCTTTGGGATGTTTTGGAACGCCGACTTCGTGCCAGGCGTCACCGACCTATATCGATACCTCTCCTCAGTGCAGCGCACCGTGAAGAATGGGCTGCCATTCCCCAAGAAACCTTTCAGCATCTGTTTGAAAGTATGGCTGCAAGAGTGGAAGCTGTCATCAAGGCTAAGGGTGGGCCATCACCCTATTGAATTCCAATATTACCAATGGAGGGCACTAGAAACATTTTCAGCCACGTGTCCGGATACTCTTCATCACACAATGGACATGCATACTCGAATTATATCATTACTAGAGCCCGGAAGTTTGGCAAAACGTCTATTATCGATACTATTTATTACGTTATCAATACTATTTATTACATAGGAATCACTTAATTGTTATGAGGTTGTTTCAGTCGATTTTTATTTTGCCCTTTCAACTTCTGTTCACTATTATAATTATTTTGTCACTTCCCCCTTTTTCGTTATATTTTTAAATATTTTTTCCTAATATCGATCCCGTTCAAGCTGGAAACATATTTCCAAATCTGGACAACACGAAGACACTGTCGCATTTTGTCTTTCTCTGCAAACGGAGGCTACAGAGACATGTAAAGTTAAAAATATAAATGAGAAAGAAAGATAATACTATTTAAGATTTTTGATTTCTTTCATTGATGCCGACAGGGTGTATTTGCTCGCGAAAAATCCTATTCAACTATTTAATTCTGGGCTCTGATCTCTTCTAAGGACAAAGCTTTCTGTATGTGAAATACAATGCGACACTTCCCAGTGTTGACGATTACACAAGTGCGAAAACCAACAACTACAATCGCAGTTTCACTGATGTCATTCCAAGATTCAAAAGAGGGATCCTCAATCCTTTTTTGTTGAAATAGAGTCGCGAGAGAAACAAATTGGTAGTCAACATACATGTGAAAACAAGATTACAAAGCAAAGATAGTTTTCTTCCATGTAAGTGCGGATGTAAATTTAAGAGTTTGAATTAAAATTTGAATCATTTTAATTATTAGTTTTTACAATTACTCCTTTGAAATTGTAATTTTTATTGTTTACATACCTTTCTGTCCCTCTTCTTTAGACAGAATAAATGCATTTTTGCCTACATATTTTAGTTGGAATAAATTCCTGGACTTCCAGGCTCTATATATTACATACCATTAGAAGGGATAGGAATTCCTTCTTCGGAAGCTTCTTCTGAATCTTTGTGAATTGCAATACCTTGCAACTCATAGAGAACAGCGGCGTAAGTAGTGGGACCAACACCTACAAAGCAGCTGTCTTTCTGACTGTATTCGACTAAATTGTCTGGTTGTTTCGGATTCTTATCTGTTAGTGTTCGAGAGACTTCTTCTTTTAACTCCTGAAAGAGAGGAAAGAGAAGCAGTATTTAGATTAGATTCACAACCATATATTTTAATAGGTTAAGGAAATTGTACTATAACAATCTTATTAAAAGGAAAAATGTTATTTATTTAAAAAACAACGTGCGTAAATGAAAGCGAATATATATATATATATATATATATATATATATATATATATATTGTGATGGGACGGTCGCACATAGCAGATGACGACACGAAGAAAATATTTTATTTAATTAAGAATCGTGCCGCCGTTAAGAGCAGCCGGAAATGCCGTTTCCTGCATACCTCGGAGGGCCGCTTAGCGCGCCGAGGGAAAGGAGGAATGCGCCTCCTTTGTTCAGCGCAACCCACGCCGGACGCGCCCTTATTGGGAAATACGCACCCCCAAACCGAGCAACGGAATTACCCGCGCCTAGTTCTTAGAATTTGCGTGACGGAGGTAACTTCGGGGGAAGTTGCCGGGGGGTGTAGCTTCGCCGCTGGCGCCGTGAGTGGCGGAGGTAACCGCGGGTGGCGCGACAACCAATTGAAATATACGATGCGGGGGAGGAATTACGTGACACGCGAGCTCTTCCTCAGGGACGGAGAATCGATCACTTGTCCCGGAGGCGGCAGGGGGATCACTTGTGTCGGAGGTAGCGAGGAGGACACTTGGGTCGAAGGCAGCAGCGAGATCGCTTGTTTTTGTAAGGCAGCCGTTGGTTGCAGTTGTTGCTTTGATTGGGAGCCGGGACTATTCGTGCGTGGTCGCCCCGAATGCCAAGCCACCTCGCACACATCGCAGCTCGACTGGTGTGACGGAAGCCGAACGATGGGACAGGACACCACGTGTGAGTGCCTGACTGCAAGAACCATGTGAGTACGAGCCGGGGCGTGAAAGACAATATCACGAAGCGACCCGTCGTCGCCCGGGCACGTTCCCGCCGCCGCCCGCGCTGAGCAACGCTGAGGCGGCGTCCGGCCGACGCACGCCGCTTGCCTAATCCGGGACTGAGGGGGCCGCCGCGACCACAGAGGGGCCGCCACAAAGGGACCCGGGGCAAGCACCGACCGTGGTTGCCCGCCTCCAGACCTACCGGGCGCTGGGACGCCTGAACGCCGCACCTGTGAGCTGGATCACGACCGCCCGGGAGGGCAAAGACACCGGAGCTGAAATGAACTCTGGTCATATCGGCCTTTTCTAAGTTAAGATCGCCACGTAAAATAAGGCAAATTCAATTCAATTCAATTGAAGATTAGTTTTAGGTTATTTGCAGGTTTTTTTATGTTACTGGGCTTCACCGGTACCGATTTCAAAAGTGATTAAAGTAGTATTATGAAAATGCCTAAGTCTTTCTCTCTAGTAGATAGGCAATCACGCATACCTCCCTCTAGGGAGTCTGCCGACGAAGCAGCCGGGCAAAGCTGAATCGCCGAAGAAAATCAGGTAATAGGGTGAGTCGGTGGTTACAATACTAGTATATTATATATATATATATATATATATATATATATATATATATTATCCTGACAAATGCATAGCTCAGAAATAGTGCGTTCTAATCCCTTGAGCAAGCATTTTAGCCTTTTTTAAGCCAAAATTTCTGAGCAAATCATATACCTCAGTTTGGGTTAAAACTAAGGTAAATTATTTCCCACGCTGTTTAAGAGACAAACTCATCATCAACTGATTTATCTTTATCACAGGAATATTCATCACTCGATATATTATCCAGATATAATATCCAGATTCGCAATAACCGCTGGTGGTTTAGAAACAGGCAGATTCAGACTATGGGATATTGACCGAATTGCAGATGGTAGGTGAATACTGAATTGCTTTCTCGAACTGCTGCCTTGTAATATGAATTATCGGCTTCGGGAGGGTAGCCTCATGAGCCCCTCCCTCTTGGGTTCGCCACTGTCTCAGTGTAAACATACTAATTATGGAAAGGATCTTCATGTTTTTATGGGAACAAGATATGCATTCAATAATATATTTTTCTTACAGTTTACAAGATCCTCTGAACGGGAATGGAAGAGAGTGACCGTGGGTAGGCCTATCTGTTCACGCGCCCTCCGTGGAGGGCTGTACGCGTCTCCCCGGTCGTCTCGCTGCTTCTGTCATATTCCTGCACCGTGCCATGGACGTGGCGCGCCCTGCTCACCCGGTCTATTACAGGCGTTTTCTTGATGTGTGGGACGAACATGGGCACTCGCGTTCTTAACTTTATATATATATATGTATACACATTTCACATGTATATATATACAGTACACATACATGTGTACACATTTCTTTTTTTTATTACAATGAATTCCGCTCTCTAATAATGAAAATGCCTATTTTCGTATAACATGGTCTTGTGACCAGTCTGTGTCTGAAGTCCATATTCATTCAGTCAACAATAAGACGAAATGAAACGTGCTGGTGCTGAAAAAATTGGGAGTGCGCCCGTGAAAGAGGCAAAAAAAGTTACCATTGGAGTTAGCACCAGCTGTTCATCGAGCTTTCCGATGGTTTTTAACTTAAATGAGGGGTCCACTTCGTCCGCTGATACTGTTTCGAACGCTTCAGGACGGACTTGATTTTTCATTAAACTTGCCTTCGTCTTCAATGTCTTCGATCCCTGCGAAAAATAATTTAAATTAATTTTAATACGCTGTTTATTGCAAAGTGGTTACTAAAATACGAATTATATGTGAACGTTGGTACTAAAATAAAATTAATACATAAAATCTTCAATAAAATATTATTAACAATAAAAATGAAATTGTTTCTATAAAATACTTCTAAAAATCAATTTGGAACATATTGGAGTTCGTATAAGTCACCACTCGTTTAGAATTAAATTGATACAAATACTGTATAATGTAATTTCAATTAGATAACGTCAATAATTCGAACGTCAAAAATGTCAACCGTTGATAATCCGTATTCGTTTATGGAAATTCGTTTATGAAAAAATAAAAATCTCAATCATGATCACTCTGCCTCCCTGGCACAACATTCCTACAAATCATGAAATTAAGGTTTCAAACCATCATATAAGACAGCGCTTGAGAGGGACACCTATCACACTTGTTGATCTCGACAACCTCTCCAGAAAACATTTTACTCGGCATGGTCTCCACATGAACCAGATAGGTAAACAAAAACCAGGAGCCATGCTCATCTCGAACCTACTGGTAACCCCTGCCCCTGCTATCTCACATCCGTCTCCCACCCATTCTTCAGTCTCTCCATCCACAACCCTCTTACACACTCTGCACTTTCACCAGCATCCAGTCCTTTCTTATCCCCACCAGTTCCTTCTCATACTCCCACTCCTCTCCTGCCCACTCCACATCCCTCACCTGCCCCCAGTTCTCTTTTACCTACGCCAGTTCCTACTCCTACACCGCACCTGCCCACTCCACTTCTTCCAACTACCTCCTCACCTTTCTTCTCTTCAGCCCCTTCACCTACTTCCACACTTCCTACTCCCCGTCCCATCCGACATATGAACTTCCGCCTGCACCGAAAAACCCACGCCTGTGTATAACCGTTAGCATCAAACAATCGGCAGGAAAGCAAAACAATGCACAAAAATTAAGAACTATTTTTACATTTAGAAAGCGCCCCAAGCCTGAAGTAATGCCCGAAAGCGGGTCCAGGTTGAGGCCAGAAGAAGAATAGAGGGTGGTGATTTTAGTTTGAGGGTCGCCCTAGCAAGACGGTTAATCCCACACTGTGAGCAACCGGTTCCCGCTCTTCGCCTTTGAAGTTTTTTCCACCTTGGCGCAAAATTAATAAATTAATAATAATAATAATTAATAATAATAATTAATAAATAATAAATTAATAATAATAATGGAAAAGACACAGAAATTGAAATGAAAATAATGAAAAGAACACAGAAGTGAAACAGTTACCGGAAAAAAATCTACTTTTTGAAAGACCTGAAGTAAATTATGTGTCGACGGAAAGTCTCTTCAACGCAAACGCACCTGGCTAGAACAGGTCAGAAAATGCAGCAGCCACAGTATCACCGAAATGAGAACCGGTCAAATCACCCTTAGATATTCTTACAAAAAGTTGTAAAGAAAAACTTCAAAATTGGAAATGCCTGGATCAGACGGTCTTCTAACTACTGGTTCAAAAAGTCACCTGCCCTCCATGGAAAATTCTAAATCTCATAAACCACTTTCTGAATAATCCTAAGAAATTGTCGTACTCCTGTGTGAAGGTGCACATTATATGAAGCCAAAAACCAGTGATACTAAGATCCTACGAAATATAGACCAATCACTTGTCTCAATTCTTTCTACAAAGTCATCACCAAGTTGTTTACCAAGATTATCGAGAAACACTGTGTTAGCCAAATTCCCTAATCTTTAGCCGAATTGTCAAAGGGATGCAGCAGGGCTCCCTTGGATGTAAGGAGCAACTCCTCATTGTATAGATGTGGTCATGTTCTATTTATATAAGAAGAAAACGCAACTTGTTCACCTGCTTTCATTGATTTAGAAAGGCCTATGACATGGTTTCCGCTATGGACTGGGCTCCTTTACGTGCTGTCGCTATATCTGTGTGGAACTCGACAATCGTAATTTCCTGAAATCCTCAAGGCAAATGGAAGACAACTATTCGTGTCATTCAAAAAAATGAAACACATGATACCAAGAAATAAATATAAAAGCGCGAATCTTTCAAGGAGATAGGCCTGAGCCCTTATGGTTCTGCTTGGCAATGAACCCGTTATCGGACACTCCTAGAAGACCGAAATTAGGTTTCGAACTGAGAGGCACTGAAAGATTGCCAGATAGCCCATGTAGCGTAGATGGACGACATCAAACTCTACTCTTGGTACCGATGCGTAGGCCTTAAAAATTCAGATTGAAAGCTACTGAAGACTTTCCAGGGACATAAATACTGGAACTAGGCGTTGATAAATGCCCAAAATACATCAAATACAGAAGGGTAAAAACTCACTAGTGAGCTCACAATACGAGACTGTTGGAGAAACAACACTGCCTGGGCAAGCTGATGAGCTCTACAAATTACCTTGGATCAGCAGGAAATATGATTGCACATCCATTTCAACTGAAGGAATACTTAAAACAGAGGCTACCAACCGACTCAATGTCAGTGTTAAAAAACTTCCCTCAACTCCGAAACCCTGTACGGCTGCCATTAACTCGTATGCCTTAACCCATTATTCACCTTCTCGATGGGTAATTCTTAAATGCGGTCCACAAACCGACCTAGAAGAATTTGGAGAAGACTTTTAAGGAGTTCCAAATGACACGCTTCGGTTGTACCATCCTAAAAGTGCCGATACAGCGTTGTCATTACTGCCTGTCATACTGCACAAAATGGGAGGCGTGGATTGTGAAGTGTCACGAATCTCCATGCAAACAGCATAATAGCTGCAGCAAGTTTTTGTAGAAAAGGGCAGGCACTTCTCTACTTCACAACCGGTACTTGTGCAGGCCAAATTGACAATTACACGCCCTCAATCTAAAACAAGATATGCAAGTTCATCAGCTCTCTTTGCAGCAAGAGATCGATTCCTGGGAAACAGAAAGCACTCCACGGTGGATATCCTGCTTGCAGTAGCCAATCCAAAATGTCCACCAAAAATGTCGCTAACAAATGGCTCAGTATAGGATATTTGTACCCTGAGAGCGAAGTTCATTGATAGCAATTACCAAGATCAGGTGATTCCCACAAAAGAATACCTAAAATATATCATCAAAGAACCCAGGAGTACTAACTGATTTAAGGTCGCATGTGTGCGTCGAGAGTCAGAAAAACCATTCAGCATATTATATCAGGGCTTTGTACCTGTCTAGCTCCGACTACTATAAAGTGAGACATGATCAAGTGAAGCCACATTCCAATCCATCCAACCTAGCTAAAAAGCAACAGGCTACCTCAGAAAAGTGATGCACCATACTTACCAGTATCCATCCAGAAGCGTACTAGAAAATGGAACTCAATAAGTTATACTTGGACCGAAGTATTCTGGACAGACAGGACAATTCAGCACAAACAGACCTGATATTACTCTTTGCGACAAATCTGCAAAGAAAGTTGGTTTATTGATGTTGCAGTTCGTTAATACCAGCAACATGAGACCAACATACTGTATAGTCAGCACCTGCTCACTAGTCAGGAGATTCATAGGAGGACATGTTTGGGTTTTTGAAAAAGCTCATTCTTGAAATTGTATTTTGTTATAGCATTTTGGAAAACTATTAATTTATGTTTTACAATTGAAAACAGTTATTTTATGTTTATGTGTTGAATGCCCTTAAATTTGTTTGTAGATTTTGAAATGTCTGTGTTACCGTGCTCTGGATATTGTATCTGGTGCGTATCCATGAAACCAAAAAACTTTTAGAATTTAAACAAGATAATAATAATAATAATAATTAATAATAACAATAATAATAATAAGTCTCCCAAAGCCAAGCCCTACGTCCGAGCCAATTGAGAACTTAGCCACGGTGGGGAGACGGGCCAACGTCAGAAAATTTGGCGGCAACAGGGCGATGGCACACCCATAAAAAAGGGGGGGGGGAAAAAAAGGAAAATATGGAAGACACGGAAATATTGCGTATCGTTTAAGGCCTCGAAAAGCAGCCGCTGCCTGGTGGAGCGGCCGGGCACCTTCGGGAGCCACCGCTGGAGGTGACAGCATGGAAGCCCGTGGTGATCAGAGCTGAACAGGCGGGCCCTGAATCGGGATAACCCCGAATTATACTACAGCCGAAAACATAGCAGCAACCCATCCATCTCCACTTATAGCTGCACCTGCCCGCAAGTGCTTCCCAGAGAAGCAATCTATTGTTCCAGAGACCACTGCCGGCAGGCAAGGCAACGAGTAAGGATGAAGGGACTTAAAATAAATACCTTCATCATGCGGGAATTAACTACACATACCCAAAATGGAAGACTGACACTACGGCCTAACCGAACAAAAGTACATCCAAAGATTTCTTCACCGTTTCCCCTGATTCTGAAGTTATTGAGCAAAGAATAGCGACCAGCGTCGGCAATTGTTCAGAAAAATCTCCTCTCGGCCACCAGTTTTTGGCAAGCAATCAAGAAGAAGTGAGAAACATGCGAAACTCCTCAGAACCTAGTAATCTAGCGGCAGTGGAATATCATGTGCAAAACTCAGGATGACAATGGGACAAGCATGTCAGAAAGTATGGGATGATAAGCAGGAGAGAAGAGTGGAAAATTCGCAATGAATTGTTGAAAGTCGCCACTGCGGAATTTGAAGGAACTGACCCACTGAACCGCTATCTCAATTACCAAGACAAAATTGCTCGAAGAAATTAGCAAGAGCAACAGCGTCTTGAATGAGAAAGTACTGCCACAACATGCTACAACCAAAGACCATCTTCAAAGAAGTACACACAGCAATTTATTGTGCTGCGGTTGTGGCTTTCAAGATGTAACGGTTCAAGTTTTTCAGCGCCCGTAGCAACGTCTCACAATGATCGAAGTGAAAAAAGAATGCCACCTGGGAAAGACGCGCTGTTGTAATCGTTTTATAGAAAGCACTAGGAGAGATATGAGACTCACGCAATTTAAAAAAGAAATACCTCAGAAAAAACTGAGGAAGAAAGGTGA